GATCGCGGCAGCAAAAAGAATAATAGAGGAAAAAAGAATGGGAGAAAAACATCGCCTCATCACTCGGCGATCAGCTGATTGTGTGTGGGTCCTAGAACGAATAATAGCAATCTGTATTGCCTCGACACTCGCCTGACGTGACATCAATCGAGAGGCGGGAAAGTGAATCAAGGCAGCATTAGGGCTTCCACTATGCCCTGACCGTCGAGATTTTAGGAGCGAGAGGGACCCTTCTACCACCCATGGGGCCACTGAGTATTCATAAGGGAAGAACTCAGTAACCATTTTTATCGTTAACCGTGCCTTTAAGACTTAGCTGCTTTCAGACAGTAATCTCGACGCCCGAGGGATCGAACTCATCCGTGAACAATGTGCTCTTGCTCACAAGAGCTGGAGCGGTGGGGTAGATCATCTGGAGTAACGAACAGAATTTTTCTTCATCCGGGACAAATGAAATCAAGTTTGTGCGACGTCCTGCCAGATACCACTCGACGCAAATTACCTTTAAAGGTACCAGCGTCGACCGTGAAGAGTGGCGGTGTTGCGGCATTGATTTACAGCAGATCCCAGAACAAAGACGGGTCGAGGGTAAGATGGAACACAAGATGAACTTCAACACGACGGAGACCGTTATCTAGCCGATGGTTCGCACTACTGCACGCAGGGCTTTATTTTCGAACAGGACAATGAGCTGGAGCAAAAATCGAAGCTGCTCATTAAGTTTTTCCACAGCAAGGACGTTCTCGTCTAGTGTAGCCATCGCATTTCTCCGATGTGAATCCCATCGAACATCTGTGGAATAACCTCGAGTGTCACGTTAAAGACCTCACGTTTCGCATTGAGCACGAAAAGTTCCCTCAGCTGGAAACTCTATAGGAGAATATTTCCCAGGAGTGATGGACAAGCTCATCGAGTCTATGCCAGGCCGACGTCAATCGGTCTTTGATCGCGAACGATATGCGACAAAGTTTCAATGTCATAATTGTTACAATTGCTATTACACAAACTGTTGCATGCATGCATGAGAAATTAAAAATTCAAACAAGCCAAATTTTGCAAGGGTATGACAGCGTTCGCTCGATTTGGAAAGGACTGAAGTCTAAAAAATATTTAACTATTCATCCGGACAATAGGAAACTTGCTCTTTTATAACATTCGGTGATAGCCATTCACAGTGAAAAATTAGAAGAAAAGATTGGGTTTCGAAAAAGTTACTTTTGACGCTAATCAGGCAACTTGTGGATCCGCTTGCACAGAATTCCTGAACTTCCAAATAGAAAAGCGCCGATGCCCATCTTGAGTTCGGTTCACATTATCGAACTTCCTATTATTTGAACTGGTGCAGCAGATAAAGTGGGTGATAATCGGTTGGGACCAGATCTATAATATGTAGTTAATACGGTGGGTGGGTCAGAACGTGCTATTCCAAGCCTTACAGTTTCATCTGGCTTCCCTTCTCAATATGTGGGTGAGTAATGACGTGGACCAAGTGGACTTCCCACTGTGTTTTTTAGAGCTGCGGCAGCGCGACCCAACTAAGCAAGTAGACTACAGCGGATACAGGGGAGTTTTGTAACAGCACCTCCTAGAGCACGATCCTTTCGAATGCCTCCATACGCTAAACGCTGCCTTTGTAGGTCCGAGAAGAGGTAAATGGCAGCTACTGCATCGTGATGACTATTAAACTTCTGTGCCAGCTCGCGGGTACTACATCTGGAATCCTCCGCAACCAGCTCCAGAAGGTGGTCGTGATCTGGAGCTCAAGCCTCTCAAGCCTCTCAAGCCTTGTGTCCATCTCCGATTTTGTGGTACCGGTTCCTGATCGCTAAGTAGGAGAGAATGGAGGGTGCCACCGCATCACATATGTTTCTTGTTGCATAATCTGGATCCACGTTTTGCTGAACTCATAAAGCAAAGCGGTCTTATCTGAATTGGGTCAAGAGCGATTCTTCCAGCCATTATGTTGCAAAATGCTACGGCAGATATGGTGCCAAGAGAGCATTGACTTGCACTTACATCTGCTTCGCAGTGAACGTTCTAGTTCAATCTTCAAACGTTTCTTAACAGGGGAACGAAAATGCGCGAGGACTTTTCCAACAGCCTAATAAAGACGGAGTTGATCATGGTAAAAGACTTTATCTCTCATCTTTCGATATAAGCTAGCCTTCATTCACGGAAGTGCCTAATTTTGCTTTTACATACAATTCATAATTATTCGGAGGTCTCTTTTTCTGTCTCCCGAAATATAACACCGCAATACAGCAAGCGTTGAGCTTTTATATTTCTGTACTTTTCCTTTTTCTCATTATTCTGAGACCCATTCTCCTGAGGTTGGGCTCGAATCCTGTGAAATTTGTTGCCTATGAAACTCCCTTTCTCCCAATCGATTCTAATCTCTGATTTTCCTTGAAACCACTTGAGTTTGAAGAGAAGAACTGCCAGAATCATGAACTCACGCATTCTGTGATAACAGATTTTCCACTCCTTCGACGAGCGGATTTGACCTTGAGAGCAATGGCATCCGCCAACCAAACTTGTTATCATTTCTCGCTCCCTTCAAACTTCATGTTTTTGCCTTTTCCTTTTTCGGATTCCATTTTTTATGGCTGCTGTGGTTGATAGCAAATCATTTTCTCCTCCTTGTAGACGCACAATTTTTTTGTAAAATATTTCTTCCTTCTCATCCCTCAGACCTTTTTCAACTCAGATGAGCGATATATGCGAAGCCCCTGAACTTGGATAGCTCATCAATTTTTGTTACACTAGTTGTGATGGAAGAACTTTCAAAGCGGCCAGAGTAAGCCATAGGAGCCGATACGTATTATTCTGTTCTTCGTATTCGCAAATTTGCTACACCCTTAAAGGCACAGTTCAAGATAAGTTTGGGTAATCCAAATAAAGGCGAAAAATGGAAGACAAGACGGAAAATAGTGCGGTGAAGGCGAAGAAACTGCGTGAATTGGTGTCTCCAAAGTGAAAAAGGGCTTCGAAAAATCGTCAAAAGGGGGCCGGGTGAGAATGAGCTTACAAAAATGAAGAAGAATAGGACGTTTGCACGAGCTATACAATGTATCTCATTGTGTACGTGTGGGTCCTGGTGCGAATAGCTGACTACGGTAAGCAAAAATTCATTCACTCAGAAACATTGGTTAACAAGAAATCCTAGTGGCAGCAAAAGCAAAAAAATAACAGAGAATAAAGAAATGGGAGGAAACACCACCCCATCACTCGTCGATCAGCTGATTGTGTGTGGGTCCTAGAACGATTATTACAGATTATTACAATCTGTATCGCCTCAGCACTGACGTGACATCGATCGGGGTCGGAAAGTCCGGGCGATCCGGGGTTCCCACGCTCTGGCTGCTGAATTTTGGGACTCGACAGCGTCCTTCCTGTTACACTTGGGAGCCGCTGGATATTCATAGAGGGAGGACTCAGAAACCATTTTTACCGTGAACTTTGCCTTCAAGGAAGAACTCTACCTAGTCTGCCACTCTCGACGCCGTTGAAATTCTTTTTCTTTTCTTCTAGCTAGCAAACCGATTGATATTTCCGAGTATTTGCGGAGACGTTCCAAATATCACGATCAGGGAGAGCGTAATTCAGTGGAGTGACATCGACATTTTCAAAATCACGTCAAATTAGAAAAAGTGGGGTTTATGGTCGGAATCGTCTGAAAACCCATAGTCAAATTTGCGTTTATAGTAGCGATTGAAACCATGTGAGCATTTGAATAGTCACGATAAAGCGGAATAGTACTGATTGTAGGAGTTAGATTAAAAGCTGGATGGACGAGTTTTGCGTCTGCGCCTGTGCCGTACGAGCTCTCTGCTCGTGTTGGCATGATTTTTCTTCCAAAAGTCAGACTTTTTTTAAAAATGTTCTGGAGAGGGAGCCATAATTGATGCGTTCGGGTTTTTGTTTTCAATCCGCCTGTAGGTCCCAGGAGTCCCTAGGATGTGTCAGTTTAAGGCTTCTTAACGTGCTATTAACAATGCTTG